CTCCAGCTTTAAAACACTTTGAATGTACTCTCCAGTTATATTCACAGTTGTGCACAAAGTCACAGGTTCTCTCAACATCTCCTTTTCCTCATTATAATGTTACAATGGGTCATTCTTTTTCTTTGAAGATGAGCTGACTGACAAAGTCAGAGCTAGGCTTCCATTTCAGGAGTGGGAGCTTCTTCAGCTGTCAGCATTGCTGGTGTCCTCACCAGGAACCCCAGTGAAGGAAGAGGCTCCAGGGCAGTGCAGATTCAGGTGCTCTTGATACAGCAGGACAGCACCAAAGCCACAGCAGAGCTCCCTGACCTGCATTTCTGTGCCTGGCCAGCACCAGGATTCAGATCCAGCAATCCTGCAGGTACTCGGCACAGTAACCTCGGACAAGAATGAAAATAATGACACAAAAGTTTAGAAAAGGGTTGAAATTTCACTTCAAATTAATGAGTTACTAAGTTTAGGAGTATTAGGGAGTATATGCTCAGTCATGTCCCACAGTGAGATGAAAGCTCCTTTGGAGTTAGGCAGAAATCACTGCACTTCTCAGCTAAGGAAGTAGAGAGCAGGAGGATTAACAAAGGAAGAACATGTGAACCCACAAGTTTGCTTTTTTTTACTTTGTAGACAGAATTTAGGCTTCTGTCTTAAAGACAACCTACCTTTTCTTGTATATGATTACCCTGAGGATGCTGAAGCATGGGGCAGCAAAGGTGATCCCAGTACAGCAGACAGAGAGGGGAAAGAAGGATTTTGTGTTCCTGTGTCATCAGAACAGTGAGGTTACCTAACACCAGGGACAGAATCAGTAAACAGACTCACTCTCCAACTCAGCTACACAGTAGTTTTGAAACTAAAATATATCTATGGCTTAAAGTTATTCTTCCACTCTCACTACTGAAACTTTTGAGTTAGAAGAACAGTTAAAATTATAGCTAGACCAACAGGGCTGCTCAAAGGGCTCCCTGAGCAGGTGTGCCACAGGGAGACCTTCAGAGAGACCTTTCTAAACTCTACAGCTTATTTTCCTCACTTAGGCCAGACTTTGGTCAGCTCCAGCTCAACACAGACATCATCAAAATCTCTCACCAGTTATTAGAATGAGTTCAGGGGAAAAAAAAATGTATTTCCAAGGTGAATGGCTTTTAATGCATTTAAAAATTTTCTGATAACACCATGTGCTGCTGCTATACCATAACCCTTTCCCAAACAGACTGTGAACTGTTAGGATAACCTACAACTCTGCTCCCTACACAGGTCTCCCAGCATTATTAAAGCTGGTTTAGTGCTTTTTAACATGTAAAACTTTCAAAATACTAATTAATAAATTAACTTACAATGACAAGCAGTACCACAGAAAAGCTACATAACTTGTGGATTTACACATCCTCCACTTTCACATTACATCCTCCTTAAAGATATCAAATATAAACCAAACGTTTAAAGATTTAATTCCTGTCAAACAGGAATTACAAAAAATCCAGTTATAATATTGTTATTTTTCATGGGATTAGGAGGACAGAAGTGCCACTGTCAAGTTTGGGATTAATCATAATTCCATAGGAAGTGTTTGTCTGCAAATTAGAAGTTGGAGTTGTCTATCATAATCCAAACACTTCCAATTATGGAAAATTATTTTTTAAAATTGAACTAGAATTTTATATTGCTATGTGCCATGGTTAAAGTAAACTTTGCTCAAACACAGCAGCTGCTAGGCTGTCTTAAAACTTCCATTCCATGCAAACCAACAGCCATCTATGCAGTGTTATCAACTATGGCTAATTAAATAAATGCAAATCATGCTATAATCTACCATGCAAAGCAAACTCTTTGTGCCTTAATATGCAGTTATTTTGTGCCATAATCCCTGTTAAATAAAGATATTATTTTTGAACACTTTCCATCTCAAGCTTCAATATAAACTTCAAACATGATGTTATCTTTCATTTTCCACATGAAAATACTGTCAAAACTTACGTTCCAATTTCTATTTCTAAAAGATCTCCTATTTCAGCAGCTATCTTGCTCCAGATCTCACAAGCTCCTGCTTGCCCATCAGTCTCTGATTTGGGGCCCTCTTTCATGTCTTTTGAAACATCCATCTCTTCTGTTTCTACCAATGCTTCTTCATCAATTACAGCTCCAGTAACTTCAAAGAAACCTCGCAGGTCACTTCAGCACGGCCTCCCCACCTGAGTCCATGAAGAATTTCTTTAAACAAGCTCCCTAGCTTTTAACGTGTACTCCCAGGTGACTTCTAAGGTCCTGCTCTACCCTCCTTCAGCTCCCCAGACAAGGAGGGAAACCCAAGCAAGGGAAGCAAACACTGAAATTCCTAAAGAGGAATCGCTCACTGCAGGAAAGGTAACGTGGAAGGCAGGAGCTAATGAGCTGGGAAAGTCTTTACAGTTGTGGGTGTGACCAGAAGGACCCACAATCCTGGGATTCACAGGCCCTTCACACCTTTCCTGGGTCACCTGCCCTCCTCAGCCTTCCTTAACTCTCAGAACCTACCCTACAGTTCTCTCCCATTGCTCCCCAATCTATTATTACCAAAAATAGGCATTTACTATGATGTAAAAGAATTTTCGCTTGTATTATTTCTATCAACGAGTCCACATCCTCTTTTCTTTTCTTAATGCCAGGCTTGGTTCACAGCCCTCTTTTCCCTCTGTGTCCTCTGGCTGGCAATTCTCAAGGATTTTAGATAGTGTTTCTGTACTTGTGATTCTCAGATTCTCCCTCTGTCATCAACCTTTCTGCCTCTGTTCAGTCCCAGTGCTGAAGCTGCTGTCTGGCATCTCTTCCTGGAGATTTTTTCATCAGTTTGTGCTAGCTGAAGTGTAGAGTTGCCTTGATTTAGCCTCATTTTCCCATTTCTCATTCATAGCTGATACGAGTAACATGCTCCCATTCCTACTGTCTTCCCTCCCTTTTCCCAAGAGTTGCACACAAACAGCACCAGGTCCCAGGCCTTCCTTCTACCCCACCAGCTTAAAGAGCAGTCTGCTCCCATTTTCACAAACAAATCTGCTGCTTAGACCTCTCTGCAATACATCACCACAGCTACTGCAAAGTTTTCTTCTCTGCATCCCAACCATGGAACGCTCTTTGCAAGGAAGCTGCAGGTGACCAAACACCTCCTCTCACAAACCTGAGCACACCAATTGCTCCTTGGCAGCCTTCCACTTGTTCTTCACCTGCTGTTCCCACACATCTGAATTTCTGAAGTTCAACCTAACTGCATTCCCCTGGTCTGCCCTCTTCTGTTGTCCCTACCACTGTATATTCCATCAGCATTCCCTAAACATGTATATTCCCATTGTATATTTCCCATTGTATGTTCCCATTGTATATCCCCATTGTATATTTCCATTGTAGATTCCTATGGTATATTCCCATTGTATATTTCCCTTGTTTATTTTCATTTTATATTCCCATTGTAGATTCCCACTGTATATTTCCATTGTATATTTCCCTTGTATATTCCCACTGTAGATTCCACCACCTGTTCATGGTGATGTGCCCTCCCATGGTCAATTCACAAAAGCTCAGCTCTCCAGGCTCTCCCATAAGCCCATTCCTCCTGAGACGCTGGCAGAAATAAAATACAGAACATGTCTACATACCTCTCTTACTTCCTTTCCACACAACCATCTTCCTGCTGTTCTTCAAGCTCCTTGCAAGACGGGAACTGGGGAGTTTTGGAAACTTCCCTTGTCATTATTTGTGAATTAATGAGAATTTAAAAAGAATAAAAACCACAAACCTAAATTGCGACTTCCTACCAACACAGGTGTTAGGAAAAAAACCAAGTGAACAGTAGGAAAAGTGGTGTAGGCGCATGGGACCAAGTAAAAGCGCAACATGATAGGAAGGGACAACCCTGGGTACCCCTGCTCGTGAGGCAAGAAACTGACGCCTGGGGTGATGTTGAATTCTGCCCTTGAGCCAGTCCGGTCCCGAGCACAGCCGTGACTCTCGCCAGTGGTGCTGCAGAGGCCATTCGGAGCCGGGCGAGGGGCAGCACCGGGACCCGCACGGCTGCCCAAGGGGAGCCCGGTGCGACCAGAGCGCTGCTGCGGGCAGGGGAGCGGGGCGGGAGGGCACTGTCCCCGGAGCCCCGGGCCCCGGAGCGGGCAGCGGGCCCCGCACTGCCGGGGCAGCGGCGGGGGGAGCGGGCCCGGGGGGCGAGGCCCGTGCTGGGACCCGGGGGAGAGGGGGGCGAGGCTCGAGCCGGGGCCCGGGAGGGACCGGGGGGAGCGGGGGGCGAGGCCCGAGCCGGGGCCCGGGANCCCGGGAGGGACCGGGGGGAGCGGGGGGCGAGGCCCGAGCCGGGGCCCGGGAGGGACCGGGGGGAGCGGGGGGCGAGGCCCGAGCCGGGGCCCGGCGGGAGCGGCGCCTGCGCGGCGGTGCCCGGCGGCGGGCGGGCTGCACCGAGCGGCTCGGCAGCGGCAGCGGCAGCGGGAGGAGCAGCGGGAGGGGCAGCGGCAGCGCCGCGGGTCCCGCCGCCCGCACCGGCAAGCGCTGGAGCCGGGCCGGCCGGGGCAGGGGCGGAGGCGGCGGGAGCGCGGCGCTGTCCCTTCAGCACCGCCGGGAGGGGCGCGGGCGCAGCCGCGCGTTCCCCGCGGGGGCTGCAGCCAGCACCGGCGCTCCGCAGCCCCGCGCACCTGTGGGCAGAGCCGGTGATTTTTCTTCCCCCCCCTTTTTTTTTTTTTTTTTTTTTTTTTTTTTTTTTTTTTTTTTTTTTTTTTTTGTGCTTTTGGCCACGTCCAACCAGGGAAAGGCCCTCCCCCTCCGGCACCGCAGCGCCCGCGCTCCCGGAGCATGGCCCCCCCTGCCCCTGCCCCTCCGCCGCGGCTGCAGCTGCCGCGGACCCCGAGCGTCTGACTCCAGACGGAGGCGGCGCAGCGCCCGCAGCCACCGCCAGCGGCAGCGCCTCGGAGCGGCCCCGGGGGAGCGGGGCTGGCCGGGGCCCCTCGCCCCCGCGGGCCCGGAGCGGGGCTCGGCTTAGGCACCGACTGCCGCCGAGCAGCCGTGCCCTGACGGGCTTGCTGCCTGCCGTGCTTGCTTGGATGAGTCTGCGACATGCCTAATAAGAGACGAGATGGGCCAGGGCGACGAGAGCGACCGCATTGTGATCAACGTGGGAGGGACTAGGCACCAGACTTACCGCAGCACCCTGCGCACCCTGCCCGGCACGCGGCTGGCCTGGATCGCTGAGCCCGATGCCCACAGCCACTTTGACTATGACCCCCGCACGGATGAGTTTTTCTTTGACCGGCACCCGGGCGTCTTCGCCCACATCCTGAATTACTACCGCACTGGCAAGCTGCACTGCCCCGCGGACGTGTGCGGGCCCCTGTATGAGGAGGAGCTGGCCTTCTGGGGCATCGATGAGACCGATGTGGAGCCCTGCTGCTGGATGACCTACCGGCAGCACCGCGACGCCGAAGAGGCTCTGGACAGCTTTGGTGGGGCGCCCCTGGATAGCAGTGCTGAGGACGGAGACATAGATGGCACCGGAGACTCTGGCGATGGTGAAGATGAGCTGGAGATGACAAAACGCCTGGCACTTAGTGACTCCCCAGATGGCAGGTCTGGGGGCTTCTGGAGACGGTGGCAGCCCCGCATCTGGGCACTCTTTGAGGATCCCTACTCCTCCAGATATGCAAGGGTAAGCTATGCAATCAGCACCCTCAGCAAAACACTCAGCCCTCCCTGTGCTCCCAGCGTCACCAGGGTTCTCTCTGCTCTCAGAGCATCCATGTGTGTGACCGTACAAAAATCATGTGAGGTCTCTGGGGATGTAACCTACACTCTCAAGCAGGCCCCATGCATGGGGAACAAGTAGACACCAAGGCCTGAGATTGTTGTGTACTCAGATGTGAGCCTCCAGAGACCCTTATTTTCTAATAGGCTCCTAAAACTCCTAGAACAGCTTGGGGCAGGGTCCCAGTCAGGGCCAGAGAGGTCTCCATTACACCAGGTAATTTCCCTCTAGGCATAGATTTTTACAGTTAGACATCCCCCAGTAAAGACAGACACCTTGTCCAGCCCTATTACCAGGCAGCTAATGGCTCTCTCCCCTTTACGAGATGGAGAAAGAATTATGGGAGCAGGCAGTCCCAGAGGTACCAGGGGATTTGGAGAGTTTCAGCCTGGACTGGAAAGGCAGTCAGTGCCTTTCTCTTTTCTCTTACATACCAAGTTAAATATTTATGAGCATGCTTCTCTGAAAATAGGTAATTCAGCTGCTCACTCTGTGTCTTTTTCCCTTGTGGGAAATGCAAAATATTAATCAGGGAAAAGGGTTTCATTCATGCAGAAGGGACACTGTGCTTGACAGGTTTCTTGCCTGCTACTGAAGGACAGCTCCTCCCCTCCCGGTGCCTGCGGTTGTTTTGGAAAGGGAACGCACTCTGGTGCAGTTCACAGCATAGGTGTGGATAAAAATGGTGTAGAACAGTCATCCGACTCCTTTAGTAGGCACCTCCTCATGCTATGAGGATAATTACATTAATTAGGGCCTGATTCTGCTCCTGAAATCAAAAGTACTGAAAATATTTTGCTTCAGGAACAGCAGCAGGATTAACTCCCAAGATAGTCAATTTGATACTTAGGGAAACAAATAGAGGACAGTGCCTTCATAAAGAAATTGGTTGGCATAGGCTTTACTCTTAAATGTACCTTTGTTACAGCCTAATTGCTGCCAGCCCTCAGAAAGGATGAGTGGTGCTTTGTTGGGGGAGGGTGATCAGTGTTCCTGGGAAGGATCAAAGAAGTGAGATCAGATTAGGGAGAAAACTGGATGGATGGATGGATGGATGGATGGATGGATGGATGGATGGATGGATGGATGGAGGAAAGAGAAGTGGAAATGCAAGGAGCAGGGAGAGAGGAGCTGGCCATGCATGAATGGGTGGTGGAATAGCAGCTGCCAGAGACTTGGTCTGAGCAGAGATCTCCAGCAGGGAGACACCAGGTCTGCAAACTGAATGAATGGGGAAAGCTGGAGCAGAGCCTGGAGTTACATCTTGCTGCATTTCTAAAGATTCTTGTTTGCATACCATTTGGAGACTCCCTCCCTCAACAAAGGAGTTCATATTTTAAATGAATTCCTTTAAACAGCATGGAGGATAAAGGAATAATAGAATATTTACCACAAGGTGGAAAGATGATGCTGTTGAATTGCAGCTTTCAAATCCCTGATTTCTGCCAAGGGAACGTGGAAAGAGGAAGGCAAGGCTGGAGGGTCTCCTTCAAAATGCTTGGCTTCCATTAATCAAGCCCAGTGGTAGCAGGCAATCTGAATAGCAGGTCTCTGGTACCTCGGAATCTGTTGGTAAAACACATTTCAAGTGAAAGTAATGTGCTTGTACAAGATTTGGGGAAGTGGTTTGAAAGCCAAATGGATAATGTTGTCCCAGTTAAAAGGATACAGAGGTTAAAACACCCTTTGGCTTGGAGGCATGATGATATTTTAGGAGAAGGACAAAAATTTATAACCAATATTAGGAGTCTTTGTGATGGAATTCTAGAAGGATATAAATTCTCTAAGGGTATTTCCATTTAGCAATAGGTGTTTTATAAAAGGATTTGGGTTTGTTGGGGGGAGTTTTTTGACTGGAGGATGTACCACTTCTTCACAATCACTTGTGCATACCTGTTAGAATTCAACTCCTGATTTACCTCGAACTTGTTCTTTCCTTAAAGAACTGTTAAAACTAGATAAATAAGAGTACACTGAATATTTCGTGGGCTAAATATGATTCTTTAACTTGTATCTATGGAGACGTAGGCCACATGCATTAATATTTTGCATGAAGGAAGATGGCTTTCCTCATCAACACATGCCCACTTTGTCCATTAAGAAGGCATTATAAGACACTTAACATTTCCTAATAAAAGCCATACTTTATGGTTATGGATGTAAAAAGAGATGGGAGTTTGATTTATGCTCCTGTAACCTAACACAGACATTGCAAAAATACCTGAAGCTCACAATAGCTAATTTATAGTAAAATAATTGATAACATCATTAGCAAGTGAATGGTATGTTAAGGTAATAACTGGTAGAGTCAGGCAACAAATCCACTGTTACCCCACTTCTAATTGAGTGTGCTGCTCTCAGTTACAAACTGCAATTCAGTTGTGCAAAAATCTAAATTCATATTGCCATTTTGTCAAAAAAGAAAAAAAAAATTCACAAAATTTTCTCTTCCTAAATGGAACTGGGACCTGTACTGAGGGTGGTTATTATTCACCTTTGATGTTTACATATGGCACCAAAATGCATGTCAAAATCTCAATGTAAGGATCAGTTTACATAACCATTATAATGTTACACTTGGGCAAGGAAAAGGAATGCAGTCTCTGAATATTAAGATGAAATGAAAATCTGCATGTTGTATAAAGAAGATTCTCTGGACTGTATCTGGTATGCTAGATCAGTGCATGTTTAGGAGCTGTCTATGAAAAGCTCAGCATTTACTCAAATCCAGCCATTCTTGGAGGAATTTGATGGACACTGCTTGCAAATACAAGTACATTTGACTGTTTTGCTTCACCTCCACCTGACTCATACTAAATTACGTCTGATCTCGTTGTAGACAGCCAGGGAGGACTGGAAATGCATTTGTGTATGTCAGGCAAAATCAGCTAACTCTGCAAATTTTGTTTATTTCTTAACTTACTTTGATTAAGCAAAGCTCCTAGTCACTAATCATTTGTCTTTAGGTGCAACATAGTCAAAGGTTGCTTGTTAAAACAGTAGTGGCTGATTTTAATTAATTTCAAGTTTTCTCCACGCTAATTTCTTAATAATGTCATTCTTTCTAAAAAGAGGAAACACTTCAAAAATTGCATTATCTCCTATATCTGTAATAAAAAAAGGTAGTTTGTTTCAAAGGACAGGCATTACACTTGTCCCCAACCTAAATAATGTACATTTGGGTATCAGAGGCAAAGTCTGGTGCCTGGAGATCTGAACAGAATAACAAAAGGTGATGGGAAAGATCCAGGAGGATTGTCAAAAGCATCTGTCCAGACAGCTAAATGTCACTGCACACACTTAAGCTGATGTTTCTGGGAAGCTCATTACAACTGTCTTTTTTGCATCATCAGACAGCTCTGTAAATGTATTTTTTCTAAGTAGGCACAAAAGGGGAAATAGTCAGCCAGAAAGCTGTGCTAAAGCAGCAGAGTTACTGTAGTAGAGTGTCTGCCCTCTTTTCCTAGTAGACTTCATAGGTCCCTCAGTACACAAACGTGTGAAAAATATTTTCTTGGCATCCTCTCTCCTTTATATTTATGTCTGGTCATGCTGTTCTTCCACAAGTAAAGCTCCCACTGACTTCCTGGGGAGTTTGGCCTGCAGGTATCGAACATATTTGTTCCCCTTCCTCCTCCTCCTTCACAGCAGGGTAAGGCTGTGTTTGTGTTAATTCACATTCCTTGGGTTACTCAGTGTTTGGGAACGAGGAGCTTTCAGCTGAGATGGTGAGCTGCTGCTCACACTCAAATTGGACAGTTAAGCTTTGTTAATGAGCTCTCAGGAAAGCTTTGTAGTCCTTCCAAATAAACATTTTTACTGTTTTTAAATAAAAGCGGGTTAGGGTCCTATGGAAAGTCCTCTACAGCTTGACTTGCAGTCCTGGCATATGCTGGACTGCTTTGGTCTGTAAGGGGAAAAGCAAAACTCTCACTCACCCTTCCCTCATGTTTCCCCTTGACATCCTGCAGAAGAATCTGCTTTCCTCCGTGAGTGACTTTTGAAGGACGAGTTTCTGACACTGAGAAGGAGACAGGAAAAAAGAAAGTGGTAAAGAGATGAGAAAAAGATACTCCCCACGGATTTCTTTAGTCTTTCTTTTGTACATTCAAGAGCGTTTCGGTCCTGCTGTGTTCATTTAAACTGATTTTTCTCTATATAAAGTACAACTCATAGGTAAAAAGGTTTATGGGCTCCTAGTTCCTGAATAACCACGCTGTCTTGAGGATTAGAGGCTGGGGTGATCCTGGTCGTTCCTTACCCCTGGCCAGCATGGCTTAGCTCAGGAATTGAGGCAGGTGTCAGGGAATGGGAACAGATTCTCCTCATCCTTCACAAGGGGGGCTGACATTGTCCAGATGTGTGGTGGGGGCCGTGCTTGGCACAGGGGAGCTCCACAGAGCTCTGGACACTGCCCTGGGGCACAGGGGTGAGAGCTGCCCCCCACACTGTGCTCAGGGGCAGCTTCACAGGGCCCCCGGGGCTGCTCTCCCACCCTGAGCCGTTCTGGAAGGTGTCTCATGTCTAATCCTGCAAAGCTGGCTGCAGGAGTTCTCACCACGTACTTTGACAATTAACGAGACAGCCTAATTTTAACTGCACGCTGCATTACAGCTCTGGAAAAATGAGAATCTTTCCACATCAAATGAGGTTTCCCTTGCACTTGTAGTATAATGGAATTACAGACATCTATTAAGTACCATTCTATCATTCATTATTAATATAGTTCCTAAAATTCCATTTTATTCCTATTTTCTCCCATCAAGGAACATGTTACTGCAAATCCTTATATAACCCACTGGTGAGCATGGTTGTCTTCTCTGCATCCTGACCAAAGGAACCATTGCAATGCCAGTTAGAAAGTGTTCACTGCTCCACATCCCACAGCCAGTCCCACCAAATTG